CACATAGGAGAATACATTAAAGTGTAGGGCCTGGCAATGGTGAGCAGCTGGAAGTGAATGGCTATCAGAGCCAGGGAAAACAGCTGTGTGCAGAGGGTTGCCAGACGGCCCGCCTTGCATGGAGGGACACAGTCAACCTGCTGAAAGTCAGCAGGGAGGGATCCCAGGGACTGAATACCCAGAACCTGCTCCCCTTTTCACCCCCCAACCCCCTGCAGGTACCAGTTTTGGATGAATCCAGTCAAACATCAGAGGGGAGCCCCTTGAGACAGTCCATGCAAGTCAGCCTTCAGGGTGGAGAACAGAGTGGAGAAGGGTGTAGAGTGGATCTGAGGGACAAATGGGAGATATCCAGCACAGATGGCCATAGCAGTAAATGAAAGAATAGTTTACAAGTGACTGCATCCAAAAAAATTACAGAAAAATGATACATAACCACTTGAAAAATTCTGGAATGGTTTATTCCAAGTGCTAAATAGTGATTCACTCAAGAGTTCCTTTACAGTGGTGCTGTTGGCAATTGGTAAAGCAATTCATTGTTGGGACTGTCTCATGCACTTCAGGACATTTAGCGACCCTGACCCCCAGGGCACTAAACACCAGTAGAAGCTTCAGGTATTACAATAAACAATTTTTTTTTTTTAAATCCTATCCACTCCTAGTACCATGCCTGTTAGGAACCACCATGGGTGCTAGAATGACAGGGGGTTTTTCTTAACTACATTTTTCTATTTTTTCTACAAAGACTAGGTATTGTTTTGTGAAATGGAAACTATGTTCACTGTTGTTTTTTTAAGAATTCAACAGGATAGTGATTTAGATTCCAGCTCTCAGTAAACTCTATTCGTCCTTCCCCACCTAAGTCTGCTCATGACAGTAAGCATACGAAAGGTGACCTAAATTATTACACGGATGCTGTAATTCATTTTGAAGTCACCAATAACAGGAAGGGTGCAATTAACTCAGCTTCTGACAAATCACTTTAATTCTTCAAGTACTCGTAATTGTCATAAGATCACAGCACCCTACAAGTCACAGGTCAAGTACTGGATTGCTTCTAGCTTGTTATAAAACTTTAAATGGAAGGAAATGACTACAATTTGGTTTCAACACAATGTTACATTGGCACAGCCCGAAGTGTTTGAGTAGGTTATGACCACTCACTCCTGGGGGAAAGCCAGGGCTAGCGAATTTGACAACAGATTTGGGGAAACATTGTTCTCTATTACTTCATTTCTCCCAGATTCAAGCAGAAAGTCAGTCTTAGCAATTCTTTGTCTCGATATTTGGGGGTTTTTTAAGGCAGAAAGTAATATTCTTCTGGGGACCGGTCTATCTTAATGCCAGCGCGGGGACAGCAATAGTTTGAAACCTGCTCCCCTCACCCCCCATAAAGAATCAGTGGTACTGGATTGCATTACCTCCAAGAAACCAGCCACGATAAGCCACATCCTGATTTAGACATCAAAACATGAACAAAAAAGTATCTTAGATCAAGAAAGCATATATCATTTAAGATGATCCTTCACATTTTTTATTTTAGAAGTTCTCCTAACTTAAAAAAGTATTTTTAGTTTAATAGCTTTACACTACTGATAATAATTTAAACCAGCAGAACTTCGTGGAAAGATAATTTCAGAATATGTAACAAAACCCTTAAATTTGTGCACTCTTTGACACACAATTGTACTTTAAAGAACTTTTCCTTGAAAAAAATCACTGGATAAATGTGGAAAGAGGGACAAAGAAGGAAAATTGCTATAGCACTGGCTAGGCTAGTAAAACCTAGAAACATGTTAGGTTTTATTTTTTTTGAACTTTATTTTTCTTTTGAGAGAGAGAGTGCACGTGTGCGCTGTGGATGAGCGGGGCGGGGGAGGGGGGGCGGCGGAGAGACAGAGGGTGAGGGAGAGAGAGAGAGAATCCCAAGCCAGCTCCACACTCCACACCCAGCACAGAGCCCAATGCAGGCTCGATCCCACAACCCTGAGATCCGAGCCAAAATCAAGAGGCAGACACCCAACCAACTGAGCCACCCAGGCACCCCCAAAACATGAAAATGGAGGAAATCAAATACGGTACTTCCTTACAACAGAAACTATAATAATCGAGAAATCCGAGATCCTGAGAAATGCTTATGGCATGGTAATTGAACACAGCATGTCCGAGCCCATGTGTAAAATTACAAGAAAATATATGCATTAAAAAAAAGGGTAAAAGGGGTTTCAGAAAAAAAATAGAAAACAGAAAGGCAAAAATCAATTTAAAAAAATCTCCTTACACATACATGAGCTTTCCTGATTGAAAGAAGACATGAGGTCCTCATTATAATGGAAGAAAATGGACTCAGAAGAAGGCACATTAGTGTGATCTGACAGATCTCTTAGGAGAAAGATCCAAAGGGAAAGGAAAAAAAAGGATGAAGAATTGAAATTTATGAAAACAAAAAATAGTATAGCTCGAAGATAATGGAAAACTGCTTTCAAAATTCAGCAGGAAAACAATTTCCAATCTAACATTCTTTACCTAGTCAAACTATTAATTATGTGTAACAGTCAAATCAAGGTATTTCGGAAGATGTAAATCTCAATTCACACATAATTCTTTCTCAGGAAAGGACTAAAGTCTGTGTGGTCTCCCCACTGGGAGTAAGGCAAAACAGAGAGGGGCACTGGTCAGGAGAAACAGGGGACCCAACCCAGAAGAGAAGGGGAGAGAAAGACTCTCCAGGGTGCTGCTGCAGGAGACCCCATGCCCAGGTGAGCAGGCCAGGTGGGAGCAGGGCAGAGGCTCCCAGAGAGGACTGGTCATGAGATGACCTCAATAGACTCCCAGATGTCTCTCACTTGCCTGATAGGAGATTTTGACAATTAAGGTAAAATTAGTGACTAAACAGCTAGAGAATGAAGAAATGGCAAAAGAAAATTACCAACTCCAGGGAAACAAACTGGGCAGGAAAGGAAAAGGGCTCATAGACCACTCAGTGGCTCAACTGTGAACAATGTCTATGGTGTCCTAAGGTCAACACTACTACACTGGTTATTAATCTAACCTAAAATATTGTGGGAGACAGGAAGGATATATGTATAATACAGGGTGGGGGGAAAGGTAAAAAGTGGTCTGAGAGGGCTAAAGCCTCTTCTCTCAGAGAGGGAAGCCAGTGGATAACACCTACAACTGGGGGGAAAAACAATCAAGGACCCGATTATAAACATTTATGGCTCTAAGAGATTTGCAAGTGAGGAGACGCTGGGGCAAACTTACAACTCTGTAACACTGACTCTTTAAAACATGTGCATATATAGTTGTCAAAAATAAAAATTGAACTATTGTAGTGGCACGGGTAATTTTTCTCACCTGTTTTTCCATCTTAAAAATTTATTGAGATCTAAAAAGATATATGCCAAAATATCAACCACTCGTGGTTATTTCTAACCACGAGTGGTTGATATTCTATTTCTAATGGATTGTGGGCCATTTACATTTTGTCCTTCACTTTTCTATTTTCTGCAAAAGCATGGAACATAGAGCACATTGGGCAGAAATCAGAAAACAAGAGGCATTTTACTTCATTCCTGATTCGAATCCACCCTGCGGGAGAAGCCCCCATCTCTGGCTTTAGCTCTGTTTGTTCTGCTCAAGCAGGGGAGTCTGCCAACTACTTCATTCACACAGCAAATATTTGTCGAATTCCTATAAGCCAGGCCCTGCAAGGTGAGTCCCATACCTTAGTTTTTTTTTATTGGGTCTCCTGAAGTCCTCAATACCAGCTGAGGGAACCAGCTGGGGGCTGAGCTGAGCCAACGCTTCTCCAACTTTATGTGCAGGGGAATCGATTCAGTAGATCTGGGGTGGGGTCTGAGACTTCGAGGAGCAAGGAAGCTACTTGATGTACACAGGTTTTATTGGGGGCTTCTCGGAGAAAGCATCTGAGTCTTCTGCCACGTCTGTACCACCATAGCTCACATTCTCTAACCCCACATAAGCTAGATTTCAACTCCACAAATGTGTAAATGAATGTGTGTGACATATGATGGAAAGGGGACTGGTTAGACAGCTGGGAAGGATACCCCTTAGCAGTTAAGAGCAGGGCCCTGGAGTCAGGCTGGCCTGGGGTTGAATCGCAGTCCCACCAGCCCCAGGTGTGACTGACTTCCGCTCTCTATGCCTCAGTTTCTTCCCATGTAAAATGGAATAACTAAAGCCACCTTTACAGGGTAGGGCTGTTGTGTGGGGTACATGAGAGCACAAAGGCATTTAAAGGTCTTGAGGGGATACATGAGGGCACAAAGGCATTTAAAGGTCTTGCGGGGACTCCGGCCCATGATGAGGACAATAAACAGTAGCCATCACTAGCTGTTAATAGGGCTCCAGCCAAGAAGGATTGGCTGGGACTTCAGGAGAAATCACTTGATCTCTCAGCCTCCATGTCCTATGAAGAGGAGAATGCCCATGCCAGGCCTCCTCCCCAGGAATGTTCTGAGCCTAAACCAGGCAGGAAAACTTCTGGTCCTCAACGGGGCTGAAGCCCTCAGATTTTACTCAGGAAAAGTTTCTTAATTCACCTCAATTTTACTACCAGGGAGATAAATAGGCAAAGAAAAAAGTCCCCTCCGCTCCCCTATATTTTAGAAAGCTTTGCTTTTAGGGAGGAGCCATCCACGTGGAGATCGGGCAAGAGAGGCATCAGGTGTCCATGACAGTCATTAAAACAAACCCCACGCCCGCCAAGCATCCCGCTCCCAAGAGACGCCACGACCACCGAGAGGGCCCAGCAAGTCGGGTCTCTCCCCCAGTAGACATCCTGAGGGTCAATACCCTCTTGCCCAAGAGAGCGCAGGTGATCGGGCCTCGCTCGGAGAGGGGGTCTCCGAGTTTTGCACGCTGGGAAGAAGGCGAGACTGAGCAAAAAGGGTTCCCTGGAAGCGGATCTGCGGAGGCACGACGCCCGGGTCCACCAGCGCCGCCGCCCCACCTCCCCGCGCGCGCTCGGCACTCACGATCTCCGCCACGATGAGGAGCCCGGGCAGGGTGCGGAGGAACTCCCGGTCGTAGGCGAAGCTGCTGCTGCTGGTGGAAAAGTTCTCGGCGAAGGAGCTGGCAGTGGTGGTGACGGTCTGCGAGCGGGCGCGCTGCGGCTCCTCCATCGCCGCGCCGCGGCCGCGCTGGCCCCTCCTCGGGGACCCCCCGCGCGTCTGGCGGTGGACGCGCGGCCCGGAGCCCTGGGGACACCGGCGGGGGGAGGGGAGCGCGGCGGGCGCGGGGAGCGAGGCGCGCCGGGGGCACCCCCGGGGCCAGTCCCGCCGCGGCGCGTGTCGTGCGAGTGCGCGGCTTCCCCCGCTCCTCGGCGCGGGGCTCTCGGGCTGCGCTGGGGCCCAGGAGGAGGAGGAGACCGCGCGAGGGGAGCGCGCCGGACCGCCGAGCTAGGCGCCGGAGGCCGGGAGGAGGGGAGGGGGCGTGGAGAGGGGCGGGCGCGAGGCGGGCTGGAGAAGGACCGCCCCGCGGAGGCGCCGCGGGCCGAGCCCTCTCCACCTGTTGCCCGGGACCGCGCGGCCGGGGTCGCGGGCCGGCGGCGCGGAGGGGAGGGCGCGGGGGTCCCGGGCGCCTGCCGCAGCCGGCCCGCCCAGCCTCCGCCAGGCCCCGCCCCCTCGCGCCGGCCGCTCCGCGACCTGTCTCCTTCCACCTGGCGGCGGGGCCCGCGCTGCGCGGCCGCGGGGAAAGCGAGGCCCCTGAGGGGCTCCGAGGCTCCGGGAAACACCCCCTGCGCGATAACGGAGGCCGAGGGTCGGGGGGTGACTCGAACGCGAGAAAGAGCGGCCGGAACTCTGACCCGGCCGGACCTTCGACCCGAGATCGATGCGAGGCCGCCGCGACTGCCCGGGAGCCGGCCGGGGCTTCTCCCCCTCCCTCTGCGGCCGCCGCCGAGGGCCGGCGTTATTTCCTGCCCCTCCTGCCGGGAACAATTTGAGGAACCAAGCTAATCGCTGGGCTTCGAGGGCGAGACTCTTCCAGGCGCTCGCAGTGGCTCTATCGGGGATTCGTGGAGTCTAGGTGACGGCGCCTGGCCCGGAGACTGGACGGGGGAGTCTGGGGGGGGGGTCCCCGGTCACGATGAAGCGGTGTGACCATCCCGTCGCACTCGGAAGGAAATGTTTGGAGGGGGGTGGAAGGTTGAAAGGGGTGGGTTATGTCAAACGGGCTGTGCTTTTCTGGGATGGGGGAGGGGATGAGGGTGCCGCGTGAGTGAGACAGCTTGTTACAGGGTCAAGTTAGACCTGAGCTCCAGCGCGGCACTTGCATGTTTCAGCTGTATGACCATGAGCCAGTGGGCTCCACCCCTTTCGGCCTCAGTCGTGCCACCTGTAAAATGCAGGCTCAGAGACTGGTCCTCTCGCCAAAAAGAGGATCTTCTGGGTGGTCCCTCCCTCTCTTTTGTAAAAGGCTGGCTGGCAAGAACCGAATTTTATTCGGAAGCCACCAAGAGGAAAGGAATAATAATTTGGTCACAAAGAGAGGGTTGCTTCCAGGTCACAGGAAAGGCCTTCCCTCTGATCTGCTCCAAGACAGATCAAAAAAGAGGTCAGAAGGGACATTTTATTCACCATGTCCTATCAGGTGAGGAGAAAGAAAAACTAGATCTAATAAAACAAGGAATTCGTTTCTTTTTAAGTCTAGGGCCTTTTCAGGATGACCTCAGGGAGTAAAAGTTAAGGCTTCAACAGCATTATAAAGATGAGGATTTGGAGAAATTCCATCCATGAGAGTTTACTAAGCACCTTGTGCTGGTGGGTAAATGCAACAAAAATGGAAATAAATCTCCCCTAGAGCAATGGTTCTCTCACCTAGGAATTTGTCAGAAATGCAAGTTCTCAAGCCCCACCCTAGATCCACTGAGTCAGAAATTCTGAGGACAGAGCCCAAGAAGCTGTGTTTGAACTGGCCCTCTAAGGGACTCTGATACACACTTTAGTTTGAGAGCTTCTGCTTTAGAGAACCTGGCCATGCAGCTGGGGAGATCAGGGGTGCACATAGAAAGTGGCTGGGAAAAAGTCTATCGCATCATGCATGACATTTAGTGAATGCAGGAAGACAGGAAGGAAGTCTAGACAACTCTATTTCTGTAATACAAAGGACAATTCCTTCTCAAAAAAAAAAACCCTTGGGCCCAGGTGAATTTCAAAATTCAGATTTTTTTTTTATTTTAAAAAGGTAAAATATACACAGACCATATCCTACATAACACCCTTGGTGAAGTCTAGAGTGGCACTTTCATTAAATGCAGTCATTTTCTGCAATAAAAAATATATAAATGACGTAAGTGTGTGTTTGGGTTATCTCTTGCAATGTAACAAATGCTCCCAAAACATTAGTGGTTTAAAATAACAACCATCTTATTTACTCATGAATCTGGGGGTCAGGAATTTGGGCAGGGTTTGGCTGACAGTTTCTTCTGCTCCGTGTTGTGTTGCATGGAGTCGTTCACTCAGCAGCTTTCAGCTGGTGGCTGGGCAGTTCTAGAGAGTCCAGAAAGGCTTTGCTGACATTCTGTTGGCTCCCATTCTGGCACATCAGTGCTCCTCTGCGTAGCCTCTCTCTCTTCATGAAACCTGGGTGTCCTCACAGTATGGTAGGCTCAGAGTAGCTGGACTTCTACATGGCGACTGTCTTCCAGAACATTCCAAGAGGGGCAAAAGCAGAAGTTGTAGATGTCTTAAGGCCCAGCCTTGAGAGCTACACAGAATCATTTCCAGCACATTCTATTGGTCAAGGTCAGTGACAAGAGCAGCCTAGATTCAAACAGGGGGGAAAGAGATACCACCTCTGCCTGGGAGAAGCAGAATAGAATGGTGGCCATCTTTTGATCCATGAAGTAGGATTAAAAAAGACCATAAATATCATCACATCAGTTTAGGTCACGTTTTCCATAAAATAAATTTTCTACAAACTTAAGAAGAAAATATTAGTTTTCAGCCTTTTAAATTCCAGAATTGCAAAGAAGCAATTACACACTGGATGCTGACAAATGGGCTGCCCCTTTCCAACTGCTGCCTAAGTTGAGGTGCTCCTCTTCCGCCTGGAACCCTCCTGATCTGTATTCCTTCCTCCAGTAATACCGTTATCCAAACTCCCCTCCTTCTTCCTGCCAGAATTATTATCCTGAAATCCCAGGCTCAAAGCTGGCCTTGCGTTCCACTGTGCACATTGTAAGGGCCTCTATAGGGTGCCTCAACCGGCCTCTTCCCAACCAGTCTAGAATGCTTCCCATTCCAGCCCCACATACATTTTCATATGTCTCTGTAGGTGTGACCACTTTATAACCAGCTTTACTCTCAGCCTAGAAAGCTTCCTACCACGGTGCCTGGGTGGCTCAGTCCTTAAGCGTCTGCCTTCGGCTCAGGTCATGATCCCAGGGTCCTGGGATCAAGCCCTGAATCTCGGGCTCCCTGCTCCGAGGGAAGCCCGCTTCTCCCTCTCCCACTCCCCCTGCTTGTGCTCCCTCTCTCGTTGTGTCTCTCTCTGTCAAATAAATAAAATCTTAAAAAAAAGAAAGAAAGCTTCCTACCTTCACCCACAGCTCAAAATCTGCATCCTTCAAAATCCAGCTCAACAGCCTCCTTTTTCTGTGATTTCCTCTGGATAGCCATAAAGCTTGTTCTTTTCTTCTTGGCCTCAGAATTCATTAATTTTGTGCACTTCTCTTTTCCACTTCTTGAGGGTCTATGAATGAACCTTTTTTGCCTCCCCCCAGCCATAGGAAGTATTGAATGAATATTGAAACCCAACTTTATTCTTAAGTGTGGAAAAACAGCAAAGAAAGAAAAGATAGGCCCTACTCTCCCATAAGACTTCATGCAGAACAAAGCTTTGAGTGGGGACTTGTGGGAAGCATGTAATTGATAAAAATGGAGGAGAAAGAGCCTACAGGAACAGCCCAAGTGACATCACAGTGCCAGCATGAGCAGGCCATGTGCAAATAGATACGGAGGAATCTAAGGTGATCTGTTTGAATGGAATGAGGGAGGTGTGTGGAGTGTAGTGGGGTAGAGGGTTTATCCAGAATCTGAGATATGGTTTCCATAAGACTGTATCATCCAGGGGCACGTGGGTGGCTCAGTCATTAAGCGTCATGATCCCAGCCCCACATCGGGCTCCTTGCTTGGTGGGGGGGGGTCTGTTTCTCCCTCTCCCTCTGCCCACCATTCCCCCTGCTTGTGCTCTCTCTCAAAATAAATAAAATAAAATCTAATAAATAAATAAAAATTTAAAAAGAAGGTATCACCCAACAAGCAAGTTTTGAGACCTAGCACTTCAAGGGTCCGCGGAGCCCAAGCCATTCCATGAGGACCCAGGACTCATCAATAATTTAATGAAATAAGTGGACACCTTGTCATTTCTACCTGCTGTTTGAGAGAGGAACAAGGGGCATTATCATTTATAAAGTCATTTTCTTTTTTTATTATTATTGAAGTATAGCTGACATACCGTGTTATATTAGTTTCAAGTGTACAACGTAGTGACTTGACAATTCTGTACATGACTTAATGCTCACCATGATAAGTGTAACCACCATCTGTCACCATACAACATTATTACAGTATTATTAACTATATTCCCTATGCTGTACTTTTCATTGTTGTGATTTCTTTATTTTATAACTAGAAGTCCGTACCTCTTAATCCCCTTTCCTATTTTGCTGATCCTCCCACCCATCTCCCCTCTGGCAACCACCAGGGTGTTCTCTGTATTTAAAAGTCTGTTTTTTTTGTTTGTTCTTTTGTTTTTTAGGTACCACATATAAATGAAATCATATGGTATTTGTCTTTCTCTGTCTGACTTTTACTTAGCATAATACCCTCTAGGTCCATCATGTTGCGGCAAATAGCAAAATTTTGTTCTTTTTTATGGCTGAGTAATAGTCTATCCATATCCATTCATCTCTTTATGGACATTTCGGCTGCTTCCATGTCTTGGCTATTGTAAATAATGCTGCAATAAACACAGGGGTACATATATCTTCAATTAGGGTTTTTGTTTTCTTTGTATACCCAGTAGTGGAATTACTGGATCATATCATAATTCTATTTTTAATTTTTTGAGGAACCTCCATACTGTTTTCCAAAGTGGCTGTACCAACTTACATTGCCACCAACAGTGTGTGAGGGCTCCCTTTTCTCCACATCCTTACCAACACTAGTTGTTTCTTGTCTTTTTTTTTAAGATTTAAAAAAAAATTTATTTTAGAGAGAGTGCACTGGGGGGGAGGAGCAGAAGGGGAGGGAGTCGGAGGGGGAAAGAATCTCAAGCAGAATCCATGCCCAGCGCAGAGCCTGATGTGAGGCCTGATCTCATGACCCTGAGATCACTACCCTGAGATCATGACCTGAGCCGAAACCAAGAGTCAGATGCTTAACCGACTGAGCCACCCAGATACCCCTTTATTTCTCGTCTTTTTGATACTAGCCATTCTGACTGGTGTGAGAGAATATTTCATTCAGGTCTTGATTTGCATTTCCCTGATGATTAGTGATACTGAGCATCTTTTCGTGTGTCTGTTGGCCATCTGTATGTCTTCTTTGGAAAAATGTCTGTTCAGATCCTCTGCCCATTTTTTAATCGAATTATTTGTGTGTGTGTGTGTGTGTTGAAGTTTTTTTAATATATATATTTTGGGTATTAATCCCTTATCAGACATATTATTGGCAAATATCTTTTCTCATTCAGTAAGTTGCCTTTCTGTTTTGTTGATGGTTTCCTTCACTGTGCAGAAGCCTTTATTTTGATGTAGTCCCAATGTTTACTTTTGCTTTTGTTTCCCTTGTCTGAGGAGACACATCTGTAAATACACTGCTAAGGCTGATGCCTAGGAGATTACTGCCTATGTTTTCTTTTAGGAGTTTATGGTTTCAGGTCTCACATTTAGAACTTTAATCCATCTGAATTTATTTTT